CAATGTCTGTGAATTAAAATAAATAATCTCCACTCTTGGGCCCATGAGACTCCTAAGTTGTTCATTTATATTCTTGATGAGAAAAATGACAGATTAGATTGTATTTGAACTTATTTTTAGCTTTAAAATTTCTGAGGTTATCGTAGCACTTTTAGACAACTTTATTTTGCAGGTGAGAGTCCTATATTCTCGTCCCTGTCTGTCTCTCTGAATATTATATTCGTTACAGTTTGAGAGAAACTCCCCAAGGATGCCTTTAGCATTTCAGTCTTTATGAAACCCATCAGACAAAACAGAAGTTAGCAAATAATGGTGACAGCATGGTTAAGTACAGGCAGGAAAGGTGCATGGTCCTCCCAATTTCTTCCTAAAATTAGGGCATAGGAGTGCCAGAGGAGAGGTGCCTTTCTGCTGCCAGAAAGAATTTTCTTACTGCTGGAGAAGGCATCCAAACAGACCACCCTTACCATCTACTGGTCTCCATACTTTTCCTAGTCACACCCTGTGCCACATAAGAAAAAAAAAATTAAACTTGTACACACTTTTGCCTGTTAATCTATCTTTTATCAGCTTGATTTGTAGTTTCCAGCCTTGGAAACAAAGAGGGTAGTGGGGGAGTCTTCTTTTCTTCTGACCACAATCAAGCAGAATGCGAAGAGAGCCATGTCCCTTTCCAGGGGCGGGAAGGCCACAAGCACAATGTGCTCTGTCTGCTGACCACATACATACTGCCAACTTTCAAGGCAGCATCTTGGCTGTGAAGCAGACAGGCAGCTCAGAAGAGCCCAGGTACTCAGAAGATCCAGCGTGCCACAAGGTAGCTCCTCAGGCACTGTGTCTAGACGTGTCCCCAAACCCTCATGCACTCAGAGCTAGGGGTTTGGGATAGTGATTGGTTCAGTGGGTTAGAGCTGACTTGCAGTTAGGCGGTGGGGTCTGGTCTGGCTGGAAGAGGAGGGTCACAGAGGCCGTGGCCTGGAAGGGTGCAGCTCTCTCCCTGTCTTCCCTTCTCTCTCCACTTCCTGTCTAACATGAGATAAGACACTTTCCTCCACTCAAACCCTTCCACTGTACCTTACACCTTGGATGCAACCAGGCAAGGACCGAAACTTCTAGAACATGAGCAAGAAATAAACCTTTGCTCCTTTAAATTGCAGGTGTTAAATATTTTGTCCCAGTGGTGAGGAAAGTGACTCAGACAGAGGTGGCAATAACTTTAAAGGGGGTGTAGCTTTAGGCTTCTTTGAGTCTGTGCCTTGTATCATAATAATTCTGGGGGGAAAAAAAGAAATGAAACAATAAATATAATGGGATAGAGTGAAACTGACACTAGACTACAGTAAAATGTTCAGGTAGAATTTTGGTTGCAAGCAGGTTGAGCTATGAGGAAGTGGAGTTGCAGGGCAGAGAAAGCAGACTCGAGCTAAACACAGAACCAAAACTAAATATGTAGAGGGGAAAATAATGAATCTGATTAACATCCAGTGAAATTCATGCACTAAAATAGAAATCTCATTAGCGTTGTCTGCTACTTTTCAATCACGAAAAGCATATTTTTATTTATATGTCCCTGAAAGAAGGTAAATGACAAAACAATAATAATAATAATAAAATGGTTGGCCAAATAGCTCAGTGGATTAAAGCGCCTGTAAGCAGGGTTCAGGGGCCAGGGGTTCAATCCCTGGGCCTGCTGGGCCAGTCCCACCCTCAGGGCATTCTGAGACAGCAACTGAGACTGTGCATGGTGATGTGCATGTGTAATCCCAGCACTTGCGAGGCTGTAAACAGGTGGATCACTACGAGTCGGATCTAGTAGTGAGACCCTGAACACCATGCAGGCCCTTCCCTAAAATACAAAGAAAAAAGAAAGTAAATGAGACTTTGGATAATGACCAGAGAATGGTCTGAAAGGTCAAAACAAAGCATCCTAGAGCCCCAGAATGACTCCCAGACTGTATGTGAAAACACAGGGGAGTGACTACGGAGCACTTACACAGGACTCAATGAGCTCCCAGTGCCTTGTCTCCTCTTGTCCTCTCTCTTCATTACCTGAAAGGCGGAGCTCGTAGGGTGGATGATGGCCTGTCTACCCTTAGTGGCCCTGTCAGTGAGTTGGGATCACTGTATGTGATCACGGCACTCGTAGCACCCACTGCTCTAGCTAAACCTCTCTATTTTCCTTCACCAAGAAGGGGCAAGATCATCTGGAGGAAGAAAGAGCAGATTGTCAACAAAAGTAAGTGTCACTTCATTTTATCGGCTCAAGCCCACAGCTCTGTTACATAAATAAGTTGGAAATAGTAGTTTTGAAATACAGCGATGAAGTTTTAAATGAAGGAGTATCTTAGTAATAAATTAGTCTATCTCTGTCATGTTACAGATGAGCAAATTGAAACAGAAAGTGTCTCAGGGACAATAAGTTGATAGGCAAGCTAGGATTAACATTCAAATCAGTACATTCCTCAAGAGAAATGTTCAGATAAACTGGTACAGGTTGGGTTACAACCCAGGAACTTGTGACACAGTTGGAAGAACTAGCAATTTTTAAACCCAGAAAGACAAAGAGTTAGGAACATGAATATTTTCAGATTCATTTCAAATGAGAGGCAGATAGGAAAAAAGTTTGAATGTACTCTATTGGCTGGAAGAAACAAGGAAAAGTGTGGGAACCTTAGAGGAAAGGTTTTAACAGTTTAATATCAGATAAAACCTTATAAACAGTAAAAATTGGCCAGAAAAATCTTTTGGAGGATAGTAAGTTTTCTGTCACTGAGGCATTTCAGAATAGACTGGAAAATAATGTAATGCAGAGAAGAGTGGGGAAAGAGGTACGGAGGGGAGAATCCAGGCATGAAAATAATTTGGGTAGGGTGACCTTTAGGAAGATGTGATTCTTTATAACCTGGGACCAAATAAGGATTTCATTCTTGCCTCTGAACTCCAAAACCTATTTTCCTATCTGTTTGCAATAGTTTAAATTTTAATCTATTTCATATTTCAGGGTATTATGCCCTGAATATTTGATTTGAATGCTATGGAAGAAGGTCACTTATATTCATTTATTTTCTTTTACTCTTATACACTTGCAGTGAGTCTTTTGAATCCATTATGCAAACATATGTAAATCATATGCAAATGATGCAGCTTCAGAAAATGACAAAATCTTATGGCCTTAACCAAGCCATCAAACCTTTCTTTAAGGAGGAATGTAATATGCTTTTTCAATGTTTCTAGGGCAGGAAACGATTTCCTGAGAGTGATATTTACATGACATTGGAATTGGTGACACAGCAGAGTCTTGGCTTCAGAGTCTTTATATTCAAGTAATGCTTTAAGGCTAAGAAATCATTTCTCCCTATATGATCTCATTTGATCCTCGTAATTACCTGGTGATGTAAGTAGGACAGGAATTATAACTTTGCTTTTCAGATGGGAAATGGGAAGCGAAGTGACTTGCCAGAGGTCACCTAGTTGGTGAGCAACGGGTCTGAGGCTCAGAGGCAGAGCCTTCCGGTCCTCAGCTCCTTCCACACACCATGCCGTGCCTTCTCACCACAAGGTGGCCTACTGCTGACTCCCCTTTGCTCAAGCCGCAGGTAGCCAACAGCATCTTCAGAGATGATTTCACTGATGAGCATGATAACTTCAGGGTGACCACAGAAGCCTAAACATTTACAAAAGCCCTCACATAGCGTCAAGTACATAGCTGCTCCAAGCCCCTTTGCTGTTTAGCATCTGCTCTGGAGTCTCCAGAAGAGGAGCATTCTTCATCCCATCTGTTCGTCAGCTGCTTCAGGACGCCAACTTCCATGGAGAGCAGAAGCACAATCTTCAGGGAGGTCATCTGGGCCTGAAGCCCTAATCCACCACTTTCTGTTCTTATGGCCTTGGGGAGGTCATTTAATTTCTCTAAACATCTGTTACTATAGCTACAAGATGAAGGAACTGTTAGCGCCTCTCTTATAGCCCTTGCGGAAATAGCCTGAGGTGAGGAAATGTATGGAAAACAAAATAAAGCCTGGCCTGGTGTCTGGCATACAGCAAGCGCTCAATAAATGGGAACCACGTAAGCACTGTACTGCTGGCGTTAATGTATGTGCCTGTTGTGTCTGAAGGCGTGGGAACTCAGAAACCTAGAACATGGTACTTGGAAAGGGAGCCAGGGAACAGTAACTCCAGCTTTCTCCCTTACAACAGATGGCTGGTGAACAGAACAGACAAGATCTGAGGTAGCTAAACTCAGCCCATGGAGGAAGCGTTTCAACTCTGACTTCGTTTAATCACTGTCACATCTTGCACCAGAATGAAGGTAATTACAATCCTGCTTCAGAGATATCTCTGAGAAGTAGCACTGAGGCAGGCTTCCTTGGCAGGCTATGTTGTTTATACAGGAAGGGCTAAACACACAAGGGGGACAGGGACAAAAGGTGATCCCGCCTACCCTGCTTCAATAGGCTGGAATTCCCCCCCCCCCCCCCCCCACCCCAAGTGGAGAGAAAGAAGAATCTTCCTTCTGCACAGGGATGAGACACAGGGCCAGCAGAGGTGACGCCGGCAGCAGTGCCGGTTGCCCCAGCTCTGTTCCCAGCTCTATAGCCCTCCACCTGTCCCCACAGAAGGCCCTGGCCTGCCACCATGCCCCACTACACCACTTAGTCATTCAATAGGACAACGAAGGCGGGGTCCCCTGTTTGCGTGAGCTGCAGGAAGACGCCTGGCAGCTGCTGGAGAAGGCCCAGCCCCTGAAGCTGCTCCAGTACCAGCCAGTATTGCCACCCTGAGAGTCTCAGAGGGGTGCACCACTGCTTCATGCTTGCCAGGAAGTGCGCTGGGCGCCCAGGGGCTGGGTCCACAGCTATTTTTAGGAAAGATGGTTGGTATGCAAAAGGAACTTCCCTTTCTGCATAGCACAGAGCCACGGAAGGCTGCACAGTCTGCTCCTCTCTTGTTCTGGGAGCACCCATCTGAGCTGTCTCTAACTGGTAAATTGCCAGCGTCGTCAGAGCCAGACTGAATTACTCAGCTCCAAGCATTAGAGCATCCCAGCGAGCTGAGGGTGCGCTGGACCTGGGATGGCTCCGGATGCCAGCTGCCTCTTTCTGGTGATGCTGCTTTCAGCTAGCTGCGAAGTTACCACCTCCGCAGATCAGATGTGCATCGAGGTGAGTCTGAACTGTTTGTCTTTATCCAGATTCAACTTTCTGAATAAGTTCAGCACCAGTCCTCTCTGAGCCTTGGCCTTCCAATATCCACTGTTGAAAGGGTGGCAGGATATGGAGAAGTTTGACATCACTGTGAGAAGACAGCCGGAGAGCTCAGCCAGGGAATGGTCAGATAGTATCTTATTCAAACCATGGCCCCAGAACAACCCCAGTTGAGACCTGACCTGTCCACAGGACCTTGCACCAAAGAGCAGACCCCAAACCTCCTTCCTACCCTAGGGGACCTGTTTGTCACTACCTCAGCACAGGACCACTCTCCCATGTAGTCCTTTGACTTCCTGCCTCTCAGATGAGGATTAGTAAAGACAGGCCAGGCACAGCTTCCAAGCACAGACCACTCTGAGGCTGGCTTTCTCTTCCCCTTGAACAGCCGCACACTTTTGTGACTGACCTGCAGGAGTACAACCAGAGCCGAGGCAACTGTTTAGGGCTATCATGGTATTTTCCAACCTGCAGGAAGTCCTAGGAGTGGATGAAGGAGGAAAAGGGAGAAGGGTATCTCTTGTCACTATCCAACGCACCCCAGCCTTCTTCTCCCCCCTCCCCCGCCCCCTGTGTCTCTGACTTTGGTGAGTGTCTATGCCACATGGCCTGCCAGACAAGGACTGCAGACCAGAAGAGCCACTGGACTTTGTCATCTGGTGAGCTCTTTTCCTAGGTTAGAACTGAAAGAAGGATCAGAACGAGGAGCAGCAAGGTACAGAATGGCCTGAGATGGTCGCTGGACAGAAATCAGAAGGATCTAGAGCAGGACACAATCAAAGCCAAGACTGGAGTAAAGCCTTGAATGCAGAACCTTGTTAGTCTGGTGTTTGGATGAAATCTGGACGTCCTCACACCAAAAATACATGAATGCCTAGGGGAAATTAAGGCTGGGATCATAGCCTGGCTTTCTCGGGCCTCTACACCCAAGTGCCAGGACTGCAAGGTTTAAACAACGGGAAGTTATTCTCTTACAGTTCTGCAATCTGAGCTTGGACTGTCAGTAGGTTTGGCCTCTTTTGAGGCCATTCTTGTACGTAGCCAGGCTCTCCTTGCATCTTTGCATCACTGTAAGAAAAGAGCCGAATAGCTCAGCCAGGGAATGGTCTAGAACATCTTATTCAAGCCATTGCCCCAGAATAACCCAGTTGATACCTGTCCTGTCCATACGGTCTTGTGCCAAAGAGCAGACCTCAAAATTCCCTCCTACCCTAGGGGATCTGTCTGTCACCACCTCAGCAAGGGATCGCTCTCTCGTGTAGTCTTTTGACTTCTTAGTCCTTAGTCCCTAGTCCCCTAAGGCATCTAAGCTTCTGACGTTGGTATCTTGATTGCTTTACCCGGTTTTAACTAGATCCACATGGGATCATACAGGGTATACTTTTTGGTGACCGGCTTCCTACTCAACATTAAGGTTGTAAGATTTATTGATGATCTGCACAGCAGGCATCCATTCATTCTCCTCACTGAAAAGCAGTCTTGCGTTTGCCAATCACCATTTATCAATTTGACTATAAATGAATATTTTCATTTTTGCACTTTTGGGTTACCACACATGATGCTTCTTTGGACATTTTTATCTATATTCTTTAGCAAACAAATGGACAAAACTTCATTTGGTATGTTCCTAAGAAGTAATATATTTGATCACAGGCTAGCCATATGTTTAACTGTGAATGAGTTTTCCAAAGCGTTGGCACCAATTTATACTCATCAGAAACATGTATGAGATCTGATTGTTCCAGAGCCTTTTCAACATTTGTTATTGTTTCTTTTTTCTTCTCCTGTATTTAGGGCAGGGTCTATAGGGTCTCACTACACAGATCAGACTCGTAGTGATTCCTCTGTTTTCAGCCTTCCAAGTGCTAGGATTACAGGCACATGCCACCACACCCAGTCTCAATCACCAGGTCAGTGTGCCCCGCAGGTGGGGCCAGCACAACTGCTGGGGATTGAACCCCGGCCACTGCGCTCCGCTTAAGCAGGCACTTTAGTCCGCTGAGGTATAGGCCAGCTCTATTGTTTCTTTTTAAATATCAGCCTTTCTCTTTCTTTCTTTCTTTTTCTTTTTTTTTTGGTATTGGGGATCAAACTCAGGACCTTGCACTTGCCAGGCAGGTGCTTATGCCACTGAGCTATCTCCCTGGCCCAATGTCAGCCTTTCTGATTAGTAAGTAGTAAAGAATTTTCATTTTCCTGATGGATAATAAATCAAGTACATATGAATACTTTTGTCTGTTCTTTACATACCCTGCCCTACGGTGCCATTTTTAGGTCTGTAAAGTTTCTGTTCCAGTCTCTTACCCATTTTCTTTTTCAATTGTTTTAATTTGTAGGAGTTCTTTATTTATTACCATATTGCAAATATTTTCTCCCACTGTATGAGTTACATTTTCACTCTCTCAAAGACATTTCTTTTTGCGGAACAGAAGCTCTAACTTTTATAATAGTGCACTGTATCATTTTTCCTCTATTCTTTGAGCATTTCACTTCTATTTAAGAAATCTTTGTCTACCCAACACTATTATTTTATTGTACCATGATTTCATCTAAAAACTTTGTTGTTTCATATTTATTTCTATTTGTTTCCCACTTAGATCTATAATCCACTGGGAATCATTTTCTTAAACATACATATCTATTAGGAGTAAAAAAAATAATTTTTAATGAAAGATTTGTTTAAAAATTTCAAATTTATCTATAAATCATAAGATATAGCAGTGAACCCTCCAGTGCTCTCCTGGGATTCTCCCACTGCTCAATGCTACATGCCTTCTCTCTCTCTCAATCCCTGTCTCTGTCTCTCCCTCTCTCGTACTCTGTGTGTGAGTATATGTGCACATGTGTATGAGTGCGAATATGTGTGTGATAAGCAATAAAGTTATAGAGCCACGACCAAGACTTCAGGGACTGGCAAATATCCCAAGAACAGCTGAGTCCACTGCTCCATGGCTTGGATTGTGGGAACGTTGTAGGTGAACTCTTGAATAATTTATTGGGAATCTGGATAACCTCCCATTTCAAATCAGCTTATCATTGTCACCCTATCCCAGCCAACTATGGTGATAGAAAGTTCATCAGTCACTAGGTGTGGGGTGGAGGTGCTTAGCAGAGCTTTAGAGAAGGAACATCTAAGTTCATGCAAGCAAGGGCTCCTTAGTAGCTTTGGAAAATGTGAGGATCCCATAGTGTAGGAGCTCCTCCTACGTGCTATAGGCTATAGGTACGCTGTTTCACTGCTCCTCACAATAAGCCTTCAGAATAAGTCTTTTAGCTGCAGGTCATGCTGGAGACAAAGGAGACTCCGAGAACCTAGCTTTGTTTGAAGAATTTGAACGTGAACGCAAGCAGGCTGCTTTGGAAACCAAATAGGAAATGAAATGACTCGGCCTGGGAAAGTCAGATCACCAGCAGAGTCCTAAGGATGTGCCTTCTTGAGAGTGTTTTGTTTGCAAAGAGCTCTGGATTCTCTTGCTAGTGAAATCACTGTCCCCTAGATGAGCTGTGATCAAAAGGATCGCTGGTGTCCCTTGTCCCGGACTCCTCCCGCAGGCCTGCATGTGTCAAGTGTAGATGAGACATCCACAGAGGTGAGAATATGCAGTCTGAGTGAAATTCAAACATTTGCAAATTAGAAAGTGTTTCCACACTTGCATGGAGGGAAAATACAATAGGATGGGAGGGAGTTAGACACACAGAAGAAAAAGATCTCGATTGAAAAAAATGCAAATGAGTACCTGGAAGGATGCCACTAAGCTATCTCCCCAGGCCTGGGACAGGAACTGCAGACAAAGACTCAATACCAGGAGCCCTGCTCTAGGGAAAAGGCCCTGTTGCCAAGACCCAGCTGGAGACAGAGGGTCTCAAGCAAGTGGCCCTTGACTTAGGGTGGGAGTTGTCGTGACTGCCATGTGGCCTTGCCTTAGCTCTGGTGGGTCTGGCTCTCCACAAGAAGAGTGCTGTCTGTAGTGTACCGGCGGAAGCAGAGGCATGCAGAATCGTCTTTGGAAACTGACCACAGATGAGCTCTAGAAAGACCAGGTGAGGTTCAAAGGAAGTGTTTGTGTGAGCTCAAGCACACTGAACATGGTGGATTTTTGCCTGCAGAAAAAAGCCAAGCTTGTTTTCCAGTCAGTACTATGCTGGTCTGCTCCTTTTTGCCTCCTGTTCTTTTATTCTCTGCAACATTATCTCTTTGTTGTTCTGCAGCTCTGCGCTATCAGAACTTACTCTTCCAAAGTTTTCATCTGACTCTTGGCAGGGAGAAAGGGTCAGCCTTACCACTGTAGTATTTCTAACAAAAATCTATAGCCTGGTAGCTGGGGAGACTTCTTGGTTACCACACATGAGGCAATCCCCAATAATGCAAACAACAAATAAGCAAAATATAATCCATATCAAATATAACCACCAAATGAGAAATGTTCTGCTAACTACGCGGATTCTTCAAAGGTATCAATGTCATAAAAGGCTGAGGAATTGCTTCAGATTAAAGGAGTTTAACTACATATAACATGAGATCCTTCATTGGAAAAACAAAAGTTAGTATAAAGGACAATGTTAAAGAAGGATAATATTATAGTCAGAGTTTACAAGGGAAAGGATTTCATACAGGACATATAATTTATAGGATTACTTTATAATATTTACCCAAAAAGGGAAATTCAGAAGAGAACCAGAAATCTGTCCCCAGAAGACATCCAAAGAATCTAGCTGAGGGCCTGGATCCCAATACAATGGCCTACATGAATCTAGCTGAAGATCTAGAGCCCATGGCAATGATTTCCATGAGTTCAACCAGAGGCCTAGAGTCCACAACAATAACTCATGCGAGTCTGTATCAAGGATCTGCACTGGCCCAAAAGCCCATGGTGGAAGCTAGGAAGTCTGCTGTACCAGCAGGATGAAGGAACTGAGCCACTAGGCTGAAGGCTCTGCACTGCAGCCAGGAAGCAGCG